GGGAGGACGCTCGCCTCGCAGGGCAAGGACGCCCCGGGTAAGTCGTGGGAGGGCCCACACGTGGGGTGCCCTGGGGTGAGCAAAGGGCTGCCGGGCAGCTGCGTTTTGCAGGAGGCGTAGGGACAGTGCCATGCGCACCTCGCAGGGCAAGGACGCCCCGGGTAAGTCGTGGGAGGGCCCACACGTGGGGTGCCCTGGGGTGAGCAAAGGGCTGCCGGGCAGCTGCGTTTTGCAGGAGGCGTAGGGACAATGCCATGCGCAGTGTCTAAACTCCATTTCTTCATGAAGTTAGAATTATTATTATTATTAAATCAGTATTACAGAGTAATAAATAACTATTCACAAATGCCTATGATATGTGGCAAAGCTAGGATGCAAGTCTAGTTTCTAGTTCCCAGGCCAATACCAGGTACCTTTCTGGACCAATAAGTAGTATCTTACAGTTTATAAAACATTATGTCACAGAGTCTGCACAATCATATTATAAAATAAAAATATTGAACCCTCTTTTAATATGCTGAAAAAGACTCATTGAGATGAAATGACTTGGGCAAGGCCACACAGTTGTAATGTGGTGAATTCAGAACTGGAAGCCAGATTTTCATTCTACTCCTCTTATCCTACCTACTTAGACTACCTATGAATTGGGAAGATGGTAAAACTTGGAGAGTAGAGAAGACTATCTCTATTCTCATTGTCTTTGTGACATCATCTCACACCTCTCTGCTCACAAGTAATCAGCAAGGAACTTAAACCAATGAAAAATCTATTTAGACTAAAAGGAAACTCTTCTATTCATGAATAATTTATATATTATGTATGTGGTGAAAAAAAGAGAGAAGTATATTATGTGAATTTAGCCTCCCAAGAGATGAGCAGGTGATAAATAATGGCAGTAAGTTTAAGTATGAATATTGATTATAATAGTATCAGAATACCTATGTGGTATAAAATCTAACCTTGAGGTAGAGACATCTGTCACATAGTGTACCAGACAGGACATTTAGGTCCATTGTAGCCAGCTTCTAAGATAGCTTCCAGCAGTCTTTACCTCTTGCTAATCACATCCTTGTTTGATCCCCTCCCATGTTGAATCATAACTGACCAATATCAACAATAGAATGAAATAACAGTGTATGACTTTCAAGGCTAGGTCATGACAGACATGTGCATCTTCCACCTTAGTCCCCTCAATTACTAGTTTTAGGGAAAGCTATCTGCCATGTTCTAAGAGTATAAGCAGCCCCTGTGGAAAGGACTGTGTGACAAGGAACTGAAACCTCCCAATAAATAGCCAGGACCAATATTCTACCATGTTACTGAGCCACCTTGGAAACAGATCCTCCAGCCTCTGTTGGAGGTGACTACAAGCCTTTAGGTGACTACAGCTCCAACCAGCTTATGAATGAACAAATCAATCACAAGTCAACAT